CTCACCGAACGTCTCCTTGCTACCGCGATCTCACCCACAGGAAGCCGCGACCGCGTGGCAGCAGGGAAAATGGCTGCGGATCCAGTTCGTAAGTAGAGGTGGAGTTCGCTAGTAGAGGTAAATTTTTGGGGCCGGAGCTGGTTGTATCTTGAAAAATTCATAAGGAGGGGTGTTCGTAACTAGAGGTACCACTGTATTCCTTAATCATGAATGACATTAATCATATTTTTCATTCTTATTTTCCATGTGTAGGTATTAGAAGATTTATATTCCAACTATGTATTCAGAACAAGCACATTTTTTTCTAAGATACTCACCAGTCACTATTCTCATTCTTCCTTGGATCCTCATAGAACCCATTCACTTTTTATGTACTCTCTCATCTTTTTCCCACCCCTCCATTCATGTCACATAACAGAATAGTTCTTTTCACCTGAACTACCTTCATTCAAAATATTGCATGATTTTCCCCAAAACTCAATATTGGTTTTTCCATTATAACTATTTACTGGATCATAACATGAAACTATCACCAACCTATGGATTCTTACATTCATACCCACCTACATTAACCTAGATCACACTTATTCATTCTTTCTGACATATGCTTTAGCTTTGTCATTCATAATCAAAGCTACATTTTCATTTCCCTGCATGCATTCAACAACTCTACCCCACCAGTTCAGGCTACCGTCATTCAGATCTGATCTAATCCATCCATCCATCCATCCATCCATCCATCCATCCATCCATCCATCTCTCTCTCTCTTTCATCCATCCATCCATCATCCATCCATCCATCATCCATCCATCCATCCATCCATCCATCCATCCATCCATCCATCCATCCATCCCATTAGTTAATTCAGGCCCTTTATTATTAACCATTTTTACATTCCAAGTTGCAGTCTTCCATATGCTATGGTGATCGCCAGACAGCCTACAGATATTGTACCTTGTCACTCATCATAGCTTTGGTGAGCAGGCCACAAGTGCAGCCAAGTTGTTTTACCTCAAATATGCTCATGCTCACTTCTTTGCA